CCCATTATGATCAATGGCATATTGTAGGGGATGATGAATAAATGGGAGACACAGTTAACAGTTTTTACAAAAGAAAAACTGGTCATGTTACAGTAGAGAAACCCAGTAGATGCCACCTTAACCAAGTGATTAAAGTTAACATAATGAATAAGATATATCAACATCACATACCGTCATATGTCACGCACATCATTTCTGTGTGTGGGTTTCTTTTTTATTTGCCAAAACCACATGACCTCAGTCTAATCATGAAAAAACATTCAATAAGCACAAAGTAAGATGTATTTTACAGAATAACTGACCAGTATTCATCCTCAGTGTCATGGTCATGAAAGACAAGGAAAGACTGAGAAAGTGTCACAGGTTGGAGGAGACTAAAGAGATATGAGGAATAAATGCCATATGGGATCCTAGATTGGATCCTGGAACAGAAAACTAACATTAGGAAGAAAATTGGTGACATTCAAATAAGTTCTCTAGTTTACTTAAGAATCTTGTACCAGTGATAATTCCCTGGTTTTGATAACTGTGCAATGCATGGCATGTAAGTTGTTGACATTAGGAGAATCTGGATAAAAAGTATACAGGAGTTTCCTGTATTACTTTGGTAACTTTTCTGTAAGCCTAAAATTATTAATATTTCAAAATAAAATGTTTAAAAGGCGAGGCTGAACTATCAATATGTATTTGTTTGGGTACCATTAGGTTGGTGCAGAAGTAATTGCAGTTTTTGCCATTGCTTTCATGGCAAAAAACACAATTACTTCCGCACCAACCTATAATTACAATTCTATTTTCCTTTCAAAAGAGGTTTTTGAAATGTTCAAAATAGCATTGACTTTTACCAAAGATACTTCCTTTTGAAGATTAGCATCATAGAAAATAGAGATCCTTAAATAAAATGTTATTTTCCTTGACTCTCAGGATGACAGGTGCTGCTTATGTGTCTTTATAGTGTAGACAGACCTCTCTGATGGAGCTGATAAATGGTGCTAAGTCTTGCATAATCCAGTGACCCTTGGGATTGTGTTGCTAGGTGTCTAGTTTCTGGTAAACTTTCCCTTAGCAAATAGGGATGAGTAAGTATTCAGTCAAAAATAGTCAAATTTTAAACTAATGAAAACTGCTGTGACTAGTGGTGCTATTACAGAATATACTGGTAACTCGGGTCAGTTTGACCTACAAGGATAGATTCATATCCATATGCTTATACAACAGGTTTCACTTGTCAAAATATTATTTTTCTTGTGATCATATGTGATTTTGAAGACACAGCATGTGACTGTTTTATGTGCATTCCTCACCCAGTTCCCATTTTTTAAGGAATGTATATAGGTTAGCTTGAGTATCCTCTAACTATGTCTGCTGCTATAGCCTTTACCAGGAAATTCTTGGCACAAAACTACCCAAAGTGGTAAGAGGGGTGGGCAGATGTGATGGGTGTTGACCTGTCATAATGAAATAATGACAACATTTATATCCTTCCTCGATAAAAAGTGACTGATAACACATTGCTTCAAGTATAGAGGGAAAGGTTCAAGACATCATATTACTGAAGCAGAATAACTTGGCTATGAAAACAATCACAAATATTGATTTCGTTTTAAAAATGACGACTCTTCATTAAATCCAAGGAACATTCACTAAAAATACCAACCTAGATCAATGGCAAACTGTAATATCAAGAATATTTAAAGAGAACTTTGGAGACAGATTATGCCCAGTCCACAAGGCAACGGAGTCAAAAACAGCTGCATACTAACATGATATGAGACCATTCTACGTAGTTGGAAATTAATCCATGGACTGCACTAGATTTCCATTTGAAGATGGTGCTGCCTTCATCACTGAGCACTCAACATTCATGGATTGATAGGCACAGCACTTCAGCACAATACACAATCAGTCATCCAATTTGCCCTTCTTATTTTCATAATATTCCCTCATTACAAGGTGAGTTAGAACATTGTATCTGTTGTACCTGTTATTAAGGCAATAACCATCATCTGGTAGAGTAGCTAGTACTAATAGAATTCTTACACAACAACAACAACAAAACAAAACAAAAACAAAAGCAGCAGCCCAAAACTCATCAAATGATTGCTTCAGTTATTTAATCACTCATGAGAGAAGAAATAGTATACAGATGAAGTTCAACAGTGTTTCAATTATAAAAACTCAGGAGAAGTAGGAAATGCTGCAGTAACCACGGAAGTATGTTATTTGTGTATTATAGATATGATACTAGTACAATGCACACAAGTCAATTACCCTCAGCTTAATTTAACTTTCATGCATGTCATGGATAAGAACTACAAAGCTCTTGTGCAGACATGGAACTCTGATTAATGTGCTATCTAAATGGCAAATTAAATAATTGTTTGAAAGGCTTTATATATTTGAAATATTAAGGGTTTCACAAAAATATGAGAATGTAAGGATTATGTAAATCATCTTTACCCTTTGTGACTGGTCATCAGGATATTAACATGATGCAAACATTACTTTAAAAATACTAGATACAGTGAGTAGACAACTTATTTAAATAATTAAGTGGCTTATTAATATTCATTGGCCATTATCTATTTTGTCTCTGAATTAAACACTTTCCAAGCTCTAAAGTTGTAGTGCAGTACGCATTTTGTAAACAGTCACCTTCCCTAGTACTTTTCTTCAAAATGTTTAGTTTATGGCACTCTTTTGCCTTTAAATGGAATTACTGACCTGAGTTTATTAATGAATAGGAAGATCACACATCTCCTTTCACATTCTATGATGTTCGGAAAGATAGAATTTACAAAGCCTGCAAGGAACTCTATATCAGAGCAACCACAAAACAGTTATACTTAGTTTGAACAACTAATATCACACAGCAACTAGATTTGGTTATGTACCTTTAGAACATGAGTTTGTAATTTTAAATAATAAACCCTAACTAAATAGAACTTTATTAAAGAATGCCTCCAACAAACATTTAGTTGATAGGAAGAAAACCTTTTATTTAATTCACTTTTATAGTGATATGTGGTTTTCCATTTGTACTAGCTTACTGCAGTCTCCACAATAATCACAGAAGTTAGGTAGAGAAGATATTACCTATCTGTTAGAGATGAAGTCACTCAAAGATTGTGAGGTTAAGTTGCCCGAGGTCAGATACAGAGGCTGGGACTGTACCCCAGATCTCCTGAAACAACACATGCAAAGTTCCTACTGCAGTTCCTGACCCTCTATATGGACTGGATGAAAGATACCTCATTTTTTCCCCCAACTAACTCAGCAATCTTTTCCCCTTCAAAGTAATGCCCAACCCTGTAGCAGCAGATTTAAATAATACACAAAATAATTGTAGATGAAACTTAAATGAAACCAAAATGAAGAAAACAAAGTAAGTTCTTTAGTCATAATGTCTACCACAAATAAAGGCAATTCAGAGATTTTCAATGGTAGGAATTACCTTTATCTTTACAATAACAAGTTTGTATTCTTAAAATGGAATGGTCTGCAAAAAAAAAAAAAAAAAAAAAGCAAACTAGTAATCACGAAATAGGTAAAAGTAACTCCTTAAGTAGTACAGGTTGAGCATCTCTAATCTGAAAACCTGAAGTATAAAATACTGCAAAAGCCTTAACTTTTTAAGTGCCAACATGATGTCACATGGGTGACTGAGATAATGACACTTTTGTTTTCTGATAGTTGAATGTACACAACTTTGTTTCATGCACAAAATTATTCAAAATGTTGTATAAAATTACCTTCAGGCTATGTGTAAAAAGTATATGTAAAATGTAAATGAATTTCATGTTTAGACTGGAGTCCCATCCCCAAGATATCTCTTTATGGATATGCAAATATTCCAAAATCCAAAAAATCGAAAACATTTTCAGTCTCAAGCATTTCAGATAAGAGATACTTAACCTGTATATCACTTAAGAAAATGTTTCCTGAGGAAACCATCACACTAAGGGATACATCTCCGTTAGCCAATGCAGCCATAAATAAAAATGTTAATGAGGTAAAATTGGTCACTGGTCATGATGAGGGTAAAACAATATCAAGAAACTGAAAAGGTTCTTGTTAAGCTTAATTCATTTTGACATATTTTGAAAAAAATCTCAAATGCATTGTAGCAAATCTTATTAATTAAACCAGAAATCCATTACAATTTATTGCTTCTATGTTTTAATTTGTACTTTTTATCCTTAAGGATAACTATGAATAAAACATGAAAATGACTACATTTTCTTTTTCTGCAATCATATACATCCTGTCCTATATAATACCTCATCTGCCCTCATATTTTGTTTATAATCTAGTATGTAATACTCAGGCTTGATGACTTTGGTAATAGGGCTTTCCTTACAAAATATACTTACAAATCTGAAATTGGTCAATCAGCTGTCCAGGAGGAAAATTAAGTGAACCTAGTTTTATAGTAATATGTTTAAGTTAAAGGTTCAAAATATACTTTGAGATACTTCAAAACGCTATAATTTTCCTTCTGGAAACCTTATACTCCCTCAGTCTGACCTTATTTATCCTCTGAAAGCTGACTGGTCCCTCCCAAGTGCATTTTGGTACTATGGATAATAAGCTATAATTCAGTGAAGGGCTTCTCTAGGTTACATGACGATTATGATCACTGTAACATCTAAATCATATACAAAAAAGTAAATGATAGCAAGACTACAATCCCTCACTGCTACAAAAATTATTCAATTTTTATTCTTTAAGTGTATCTGTTTTGATAAGTGGTAAGTGGTCTTTGGTGGAATGAGCTTTAGACTTGGCTTAGCTCTACAAACACAAAGAATTAAGACATTTTGTCGTTAAGCCATTCTGACTTTAAGACCTTCTATCTTGCCATTCTGTTTTTTAAAAAAAAAAAAACAAAATTTATCACTTTCATGCTATTATTAATTTTACTCATTTCAAAGCACATCGTATTTCAAAAAACACAGAAACCAACAAATTTAAATTATGTGCATTCAGATGGGACTCACCTTTAGAGAATCAAAACAGGCCACCACACGACCATTTTCCACATGGCAAACTCTTGGTGGATGGGCAAACTTGCAATCTGCATCAGCTCGAGAGCAAGTTCCTCTCTGAAATTCTCTACAGACTTCTAAAGTCAGCCACTTGGTATCACGAATCAGGGCAACATTGACAGCCGTCATATTGAAAGCAAAATTAAAATCCAATGTACCCTCTTTAGGACAATATTATTGTGGACTATTAAAGGATTAAAAATGAATTCAAACTAAGTGTGAAGAGATAACAGGTTGCTTTGGTGAAATGTCTATTTGTTAACACTTAGGTTTTCATTAAAGTCAAATCTGGTCTAGTCAAACAAAAAGCCAATCATAAAAACTATCAGAATAACTAAAAATCAAATTAGAGACCAACTCCTAAGAAGCCAACTGTTAAGATAATGAATGCTTTATTTTGTTCCTTTGCCGAATTTATGTGAAATAACCAGCAGACTTTCAAAAGAATTCTGTGCTCTGCAGTTGATGTTTTCAATTATTCTTGTAAAAAACATATGCTGCTGGCTGCCCTTTGATTTGTGGAATGGTCTCAGATCAGGGGGAGAAAAGTTTTTCTCTCTATTTATTAGCTTTAAATAATAAGATTGGGAAGGATGTTAGAACCCCAAAAAAGTTTTGTTGCAAAATCAAGTGGAGGGAAAATGACTAAGAAAATTGAGAATCACAGAAAAAAGAAATGGACCAGCTGCTGACAGTAAACTACAAGCACACCAGGTTCGGCGGGGAGGTGGAGAGGGCAGGGAACGGTATGGTAGGGAGAGGGGTTTATAAAGAGACAGCTCTAGAGTAGAATCCAAGCAGCAGAGTTTTCAGAAAAGGCACTTTTCAGAACCTGCAAGAAAAAAATAAATAAAATTAGCTAAAATAATACAATGCTTCCGTTTCAAACTCTAGATTTGGAAAAGAAGTAACTATATCCTATTTAAAACAGGAAGCATCTAGATACTGACAGTGCAACATAGTACAGTCAGCTATTGTCAATAAAAAGGGCATTTCCCAGTATAAAACTGTATAGTAAAAGCAAGCAACTGCTTAGATTTACTGTTGTACTACAAGACTGGGCAACAACCTCACATTAAGTGGGGTGGAGGATGGAAATGTAAAATGTGCTTCAGATAAAGAAAAAAGTCATTTGAAAAGATATTTTTGTTTGTTTGTTTGTTTGTTTGTTTTTCGTGTGTGTAGGCTCCTTAGTCTCTGAAGGGAAATTGGAGCAACTCAGAAGAAGGTTTCAGCATATACAAACAAGTGAGACAGAATGTGCTGTTTAATGAAATAGATTAAATATTATGCAGCTTTAAAGTATGCAGTTTAACTCAGTGTGAACCAGCTATAATTTCTAGCAACAGCTGAAAAGATACAGGAAAGGTTAATTTACTGGCATATGCCATAAACACATACTGAAATAGCACTAATGCAAAAGTGAGCTCTGAGTATTAGAAAAATCAAATAACTGTTAACTTCATCAAAAAGTGAGATTAAAGTTCTTAAAAGTATTTCATTTAATTTTTTGGACAATATTTTCAACAACTTTATAAAATCTCAATCTTCTCTTTGTCTTTTCCATATTCAAGATGAAATTCAATATCACCTGACTTTTCAAATGTCATTGAGAAATTAAGTACCTAGAAAATTCAAGCAAGCTTATCTACTCAAGAGCAAAACATGTTTTTCTCTGAATCATTCTTCATGGAAATCACTCTAAAATGTATTCTATGTAACTTTGCCTTCTTAAAAAATATCAAATATAATTTGGTCTCTAATTAAAGACTTGGGACTATTAATATATTAGGAAGTATAATAGTTCTCATCTTTAAGTGGCAGACTAATTGTCATATCCACTGCCACTTATCTGACTGTCACAATATCTACCACAGTGAATTTTCCAGCTCTCTTCTGAAAAACCTAATAGCCAGTCATGAATGTTGAATAACAATTAGTTACCCACTGAATGAGGGGCCTTTGGAACAAAATGCAGAGCTTTCTTGCATCTTCTATGACTGCTCTTACTTCTTTGGGGGCCCTTCTGCATCAAGTTACATGCAGGACCACGTTCTAGAGGGTTGAAGTTGCAGGCAAATGACTTCTAGGAAAAAATATTTTTTAAATAACCTGATGATAGAAATGTAAAACAAAATCACAATGTGATGACCACTTCACTCTTATTAGTCTAACTATAATTTTAAAAGACAGAGAAATTGGAGAAATTTGAACCCTCATACATTGTGGCTGGGAATACGAAATAGTGCAGTTGCTGTGGCAAACTGTCTGACAGTTCCTTCACTTCCACAACTCAGTATATACCCAAAGTATCTGAAAACAAGTGATAAAGAAATCCTCCTACAAATCCTTGTACATGAATGTTCATAGCAACACTATTCACAATAGCCAAAAGTGGAAATAGCCTAAGTGTCCATTAACAGATGAATGGATAAACAAAATGTGGTATATCCACACAATGGAATATTATTCGGTCACAAATAGGAATGAAGTACTGAGGCATGCTACCAGAAGGATGAACCTTGACAACATCATGTTAAGCGAAAGAACTCTGTCACAAAAGGTCACATATTGTATGATTCCATTTATATGAAACGTTCAGAGTAGCCAAATCTACAGAGACAGAAGATAAATTAGTGGTTGCCAGGGGTTGCGAAGAAGGGATAAGGGTGAATGACTGCTTAATGGGTACAGAGTCTCCTTTGGGGGGTGATGAAAATGTTCTGGAATTAGATAGTGGTGACGATTGCTTGATTTTTGAAATACCATAACCAATTCACTGAATTGTACACTTTAAATAGATGAATTGGATAGTATGTGAATTACATCCCAATAAAGCTGTTATATATATTTTAAAATGTCTAAAGAGACATGACAACCAAAAACAGCCTGACTAGTGATGGGATTAGCTATCCCAAACTTTCTGAGTTTCTCCTTAGCCAGAGATTTTTCTCAGTAGTGTCAGTAAGTTGAATTTCAAGAGTAAATTCATTTCCACACTGTAACTGTCTTAATGTATTATGAAAAGTACTCTGGAAGAGTATGATATTCCAACCTAATCCCACAACTAAATTATATAGTCTGTCTGAACACATTTGGAAGGAAAATGACAAAAAAAGATCTATCTATATAAGATCTGCTCAAAACATAAACACTGAGGGTCTGGAGAAAGACTTTTTCTACAGAGGTCCACCAAGTATAGAAACATAATAAATGATACATGTGAATTCTGAACTTTTACAAATGAAAAATGCAAGCAAGAACTGGCTTCCGGACATGCATTTTATTCAGAGATAGGGGGAGAAAGAATTTTCTTTTTTCTTTTTCAAAATTTTGGCCTGTAACCTATGATGAAGCCCTGGCCAACTCTTCAAAGCAGTTCTAGCCACCACATGTCTTCCTTCAGACTGAAACTATTTTAGGCGCTGACTCAGAAGAAACTAAGTGCAACACTCAAGGGAGCTGGAGGAAAGATGGGGAGAAGTTCTCTCATGCAGCTCTGTTTGTCTATGTATAAAAGACAGGGAGAAGTGCCAGTTTTCTCTGTATTCTTAAGATCAATTTTGTTTTGGGGATAATATAGCTTTGTCTTCACTTCCTTAGACTTAAGTAATAGGAATACAGTTCTGCTTCTTAAGATTTATAGTCCTCTAAAGCAGAACATGAAAAGTTACCATTTCTTAGTGCATTTGTACTTTATTGTACTTGCAGTTTACAAGCGCCTGTATTTCACTGATCTTTCGATCTCTCAAAAATATTCTAAAGCATGAGTGATAACCTAAAACACTGATGACTGAAATGAAGCTCATGGAGGTTAAATTACTTATTCGAAGTTAGAAAGCCTGGTGGTAGAGCCATGACTCCAGGCAAGATCTTCTGACTCCAAATCTCATGCACTGATTCTAGCTGAGAAATGTCATAGATAGCATTGTTTATCTCTCTTGGGAATCTTAAACAAGGGAAACCTGTCAATTTTGTAGAGTACTTATGGTTCGTTTTCAGAATTACATTCATGCCTGATGTATCAACATTTTCATAATTGCCATAAGTTGTGCTCAACCAACATTTATCTAGCATCTACTATGTGCCAGGCATTGTTCTAGGTACTGAACAAGACTGATAAGGTCCTTGCTCTTGTGGAACATGCTATGCTCATTTAAATAGAGAAGTAACTTGATAGTACAAGGAAATAAAATGAGTATTAGAATTTATGAAGAGCTGGAGGTAAACACTAGGAATTCTGACTTCAGCACAAACCTCTAACTCACCATGAATGATACACCAAGCACTATGATTTAAGAATACTCTTAAACGCACACTCAAACACCACTGCATAGAAGTTAAGTCATCAAGAGGAATACCTTGGAATTACATTGAGACTTATTGCTCTCCAGATTTCTCTTGGAGAGGGCAACTACTGTTCTCATTTTACAGATGGGGAAATGAGGGTGGAGAAAGGTTGAGTAATTTAACTTGCACAACTTCATGAAGCTAGCAGGTGATCAAGCCATGGTTCAAACTCAGGCAGCCTGACTCCAGAGTCCCCTCCACCACTTAACCATACCACAATACTGTGTTACTCTTATGGCATCTATCATATTCTTCCTCATGCTTGCTGACTGGGCCCCTTAACCTTTTCTCCCTTACTAGATTTAAACTCCTTGAGCATAGAGATCATGTCTTGCTCAGCACTGCTGGCTCTATCTTGTCATTGGGGGTTACAGTAGCATTCCCCAGGATTTTTGTTTTGAAAATTATAAAGATTAAATGGTAATTTAACATTAACCCTTCTGTTGTATGACACTAGAAAAGAGTTTTGTCAGTTGGGCACCCTCTAGGCTAGCTGAGCTTTGGCCACCTCTGTTAGTTTTGAATCGATTGGACCTGTGAAGTTGAATGTTTTCTCACAATCCTAGCCTTCAAATTGGGATGACAATACCTAGGATTCTTCATATATAGTGCATTCATTCTTCACAAAGAATGACCTATTCCTGTCCATTTGATAGCAACAAGATCTTATAAAAATATGAAATTCCCAGATGATTGCTGTTTGTGTCTTTGGATAGTAGGTTCATCTTTGGAATGTTTTTGCTCAATAATAGGTATGATGAAACTGAACTGGTGGTGGGAATAAGGGTGGGGGAGATTTCACTCCAATCCACAGGAAGAAACCTTTCATAAGTATTTTTCCATGAAAATAAAATAGTT